TACTATAGGTCAGCGATGAATTGCCGTTCCCAACTATTACTTGTTTGCGTTTTGTTTCGATCATATCATGACTGAAAAATCAAGGAAAATGCGTCAAAATATGTGCGATATAGTCAAAGTTGTATAGACTGAAGTATAGCGTCATTTATGTCGAATTATAAAGTAAAATACACCAGTGCAGCGGGCGCATAATTTTCCTCCAAAAGCATTCGTTTAGGCTGGGCGGACTATTTTTCAACCAATCGAAAGTATATTTTCACCAATTTCTAATATATCGCTACTCAATCGGTTAGTTCTCCAAGATTCTACTTTCAATGTACTACCGTATGTATAAAGTCTAACCGTCATGTATCTTCGTGCACATGCATGCCATTTGTGTGATTTGTCGCAACCCATTTGCGATTACTTCATTTGTGTAGTTTCGTGCTGTGAGAAAAACAACATCTGCATGCGAGCAGGTGAACGTCAAAAAGTAAAATAACGTAGAAAAAACTTATCAACGCTAAGACCTAACGACCTGACAAAGACATTTAGCCTGAACGTCAGGAATTTTTTTGTCATACTATTTTAAACAGTGAGTTCCAATGTCACATTTGATGACAATGTTTTATATATATATTTTCATTCACGCTTGCACGTTCTGTACTTCGTCGATTTTACTACTGAAAAACACTTTTTACTACTGAGAAATTATACAAGCACTTTTTGAAATTTTTCGTCTGTGTATTATGTTCGTGTGAAAACGCGTTGCGAGAAGTCGACGTGTTCTAGAATTTGGATTGAAATACAAACTGCCAAGAAGATTGAGCCATATTTTTATGTTTTACGTGCAGAAAAGTTAGTATATATAACAGTTCATGTCATTGATAGAAGGTACCCACTTTATGTAAAACTGCTCAGCAAATGCTTCATTTTTGCATGCATGTAAACACTATAGCTTTTTAAAGCCAGCCAGATGGCATACTTGTTAAGAGTTATGCGTCTAGAGTGGCTATTCTCAAGTGCAAAAGACCTTTATTAAGAAAATTACCGTTTCAAACCCTTTTGCGCGGTCGCGTCTTCAGTGGTAAAAACGATCAACCGCTTCGCTAATCGCAATAGATCTTTCCCAAGATGATCGTTCGAGGCCGTACAATACATGTGATTACATTTTGAATTAAGTCAAAAAGCCATTCCAAGATATGCATGCATGCATACATATGTTGTTTTTCAAAATATGGTGTTTGCATTGTTTGCATGCATGCAAAAAAGCCAATACAAAATTTACGTTACAAATTTGTGAAAAGGTATTTACTAAATCAGTGCAAATATCCCGAACACAGTACAAAGTATGAAAAACGCACTTCGGAGAATGTATAAGAGCTGATTCTCAGCATTTAGCTATATAACGATCAACGTGTACGATGAGCACATTTATAATGATAAAAACAGCTGTACAAATTTTTAAAAACTGCACAAGTGCTGTACATGTTATTGAGAGTTTATTATGTCAACAAAGCATATTAATAATGGTTCATGCGTCAACTTTATCTTGCATGACCCTTAATGTTTATAAGCAAAATTTTTTTGGCATGTAGAATTTTTGGCCATAATTCATGTCATAAAGTAATCATCAAAACAATGGCAGTCTAAATGGTTCATACTTTTATGGCTGAGGTGTATGCTCGTACGCGTGAACCCCAAAATTAGTTTTGGTTAATTGAAAACAGCACGAAACATTATTGCATGCACGCTATATACATCTTTTAATCGTTTCGGAATTGAACTTTTAGCTGGCCAATTAGTATATAGTTCATTAGTTGGAACACAAATTGACAAAAGTGGTGTACATTCGGGAGTGTGTACCGGCCTCTCATCAAAATTGGTGGCGCCTCGTGAGTTAAGACCATGATCTATGCATGCTTGAATTAAATATAGGTTGTGCTATTAAACCGCTATATCTTTTTAGTTAATCTATTTATCGACTTTGGCCTGAGGCTTTCGAGGATATAATACTTGGCTTTAGCTATGCCTATAAGTTTCTAAACGCATAGGATCTTCCTTATTATACGGCGACGCGAAGATTTGGATTTTATCTGAAAGCTCTCATTCGCCGCGGCGTTCATTCGTAAAATATTGTTTTCACCACGAGAAGATAAAATTCATGATTCAAATCAAACCGCCGTATAATGTTCTTTTTATTATATTGTCAAACACAAGAAAAAAAATTAAGCAATATAATTCGAAACGAATCCAAACGAAAACGAAACGACTTCCCTGGTAATTTTCGGTTGAGAGAAACTCAAGAAATACCTTCATATCGTAGACGTTTTCTTTCTATAGTATTTTTGTTTTCCTGCCCATCACAAAACGATTTTACGTCTTTGTTCGTGACTCTTGCGATCAAACTTCGCCATTAAGTTTAACGAGTTTAACGAGGCCTTAAAGATGCATGCAGTGTAAACACAGTGGTTTTGGCGGAAAATGATGACGTGTTTCCCGAAATTATAGTGGTAATATATGGAAAATATCTTTCTGTATATCTTACTGTCTACTATATATATATAAAATGATTATTATATCCTTTAGAGCAATATGGACGAAACCTTTCAGCTAAGATCCTATATATAACCGGCTAAGTCATCCTAGCTATGCTCCTATAGTACCTGAAGCTAAATTTGATATGCCACACATTATAGGTTCAGACTTCCGTGTTATTGCGTACTTTAAGACACGCTTCTGTCTGAAAATCAATAGTAGAAAATTGTACTTTCTTACAAGTATTCAAGAAAAATGCAACTCGATACAAATTATCGAAACTCTTGTAACATATCGCGTGCAATATAACATTTCTTCCATGGCTACATTGTAATAACACATTCCAAGCTGCTTGTCCACGATAACATGGCGTCATGCCTTTGATTATCCAATATATAATGTACAATGATAATTATTATTTAAAAATATATTTATAGACCCTGCGAAAGTTGATCTGGTCATCGTAATTGACAAATATTCCCCGAAAGGTTCGCGTAGTTTTTATCGTCAAAGGAAATTTATCCGAGAGTTGGTCGAACACCTGCCTGTTTTTCCTGCAAGAATAAACGTCGCTGCTGTTTCAGTTTCCTCGGATGTGAAATTAGAATTTGGTCTCAACAAGTTCCTCAACAAAGAATGTACAGCGAAAGCCGTAGGGAAAATTCGGTAACGCAACCTTTTTATCTTTTATCCTCAGCTGATTTGATTTTAATTGCTGATTTCAAAATTTCTTTGCAAAAATATTGTTGCAGTGCAACTTGCAGAGACGTTTTAAGCCCCGTAAAACATGTCTTATATACTTTTAGAAATAGAAGATTACTTATAATAGTAAAAAAACCACATATAATTATTCGTTTCAAAAAATAAAATGACGCTTTTAACATTTTGTCTATACCTACAGTTATACTAGAGGCAAATCATCGATTAGCAGTGGCTTGGAATACGTTTTCAATAAATTAATATTCGAGGCAAGTGCCGGCGCCCGTCTGAACGCGCGAAAAATGATCGTTGTTCTTTCCGAAAATTCGTTGAACGTCGATGGGCAAATGTACTGGAACAACTTATCTGATCGCCGTGGTGTCCAAATCGTGTTTATCAACGCGAAAACAAATGTGATGCACATGGAGAACATGAGCGCTTTGAAAGAATTGGGAAATTTACTGGGGACAGGTAATGTCTGCAACGTATGCTATTCGTATGGATTAGCGTAATCAGGACTCAAACGACGTACAGAAATATAAGTTGACTCAAGTTGGGGAGGGAAGTTGGCTGAAGGGGAAATTCACCCTATGCAAGTCCCATGCATGTTTGCAGCCAAGGACCCCAAATACCTTAGGAATCAATCCCAACCTCGTTCCCAGGGCCTTTTGCGACAATAGGAAAAAGAAGAGGAAAGGCCCAAGGATCACCCGTTCAAAATACCCACAATAATATTGTCTCATTAAAACATATTGGAATTATGGTACTATTTCGGAATAATTGCAAAATATTCTGCCAATTACACATAAATTAGGAAATATCATTTAGGAAATCACACGTCAGATGCGGCTGGCCGATCCCAGGGGAATCAATCCACTGTTGTTGGTAAATAATGTAGTTCTGGGTCGTTTTATTGTTCAGTTGTTGTGCCGATTGAGTTTTTTGCTCGGCATGTAAAAGTATATAAAGACAACAGAAGATATATAGCTTACAAACTGAAAACAAAAACAAACTTCAATGTTATAGACACGTTCTTCCCGAACCTTGTCCGTTGTTGCTTCTACTACCTCACAACCTCCATTATAATAAATCGTCAACCATATTCTATATGAAACATTCTATACATGATTTGATCTTAAAGCTTCTCGTTATATGATATGTCATATTTAATAATTATCGAAAACCTATGCCCTCATACGCATGGAAAGTAATTTAATCTGTATACGACGACTTTGTACTCGTGCTTCGGCATGACAATGCGGTATTGCATTTGAGTGGTACAGACTACAGAATTACATAAAATAAGTATTTTATTCCTGACGTTCAGCGGTTTTCCCCGGAAAATTGCGGCTCTTCAAGAGACTCAAGGCCCGCAAAATCTTTAGGGTGGGTCGCACAAGTTAGAATAAGCAAATTGGAAGTTAGAATGAAACATAAACATGTATATAATGATAGATATTCTCGCAATTTTTGTTTGTTTCAAATCCTAGAGATACCAGCACAATGCCAAACGGGAGAAATTATTTACGATCAGTGTCGAAGGCGTTGCAAATGCATTAGCGGGAAGCTTGTCGATTGTTGTCGAATACGAGTACAGTTCACGGAAATGAGCGGCGCCGAGCGAACACGATACATAGAAGTCGTAAAGACTGCCTCGAAGGATCCGTTGTACAAGAAACGATACGAAACCCTTTTGACGATACACAAGACCATCTTTACTTCAGGCATCCACCAGCCCACTTACTTCCTTCCGTGGCATCGTTGGTTCATTCTGGAGTACGAAAATGCTGCGCGAAATCGATTGCTCCGTCACAGTTCCGTATTGGGAGTCGGCTGAGGAGGCGAATAATGCGTTGGCAAGCGATTTGTGGAACAAAGATGATCATGGCTTTGGTGGAAATGGTACTGGGTCATCGAATTGCGTTCAAGATGGACCATTTAGGGCCGAAGTACGTGGATTATTTTTTTTTCATTCATCTAGGCCTGTCATAGCAAAAGAATATAGTAAAGGCTCAGTATAGTAAATTTTCCTCCGGACCGGATCTGACAGAAAGGTTTCTTTTATTTATGTGTTCGCAACCAAAACTAATTGTCTTAGGCACAAAGGAAACCATACTGATAATTTTCCTTTCTGGAAATAGGCCCAAACGCACCACTACCACAATTTCCATTAGTACGGAGATGCTGTTAAGGTGGTTCGTACCACTTACAGTTACACGAAAATCCTAAAATAGTCAGCTATACAGTATATAATGGAATCTCTTTAAAAATCCTCAAGCATGGTCCGCTCTGGGACATCTGACAAGAACTCGACTCGGCCAACTTTTCGTTGTATATAAGTGTAAAACAGAACGATTTAAAATATTTCTTTAACTTAGAAACCTTGCATAAATTGTATATCCCAACCCCCACGAATCACCCCTATGAACACTCGTTTGAACCGCCGTTTGTCGTACCGCATTAAAAAAATGACACGAACAATCGAGCTTAGCTTCTATTATTTAATTCTTTAGAGCGAAAAATTGTAACCACATATTATCTAGAGTATAATACATGGATGAGCGGAAATACGGAATTTATTTCGATTAATGATTATTATATTTTATTCTGTTTTTTTTTGAAAAGTTTTTTATCCCTCTTCATGATTCCAGATCGGCGGATCAAACACGATAATCGCACATGTGTTACTATCATGAATATGGCGCAATAAAACACTGCATATTATTATATAATAAAACGTTTTTTAATTGTACTGCTAGATTGTAATATTGCTCAAACATATTCTTTCTTAACTTCTCTTTGAATTTTCCTAACGGAAAAACCACCATGGCAAACAGAAACCCACTAAAATAGCATGTACTGTATGAATATAGGTATGGTCAGTTATTGAGAGTGCTGGTGGAGGCTGCTTGAAGAGGAATTTTAACGGCCGTTTTCCCGATTGCATCGCCATCATGGAAGCACTGCTGGAATTTTCGAACGCAACCAGTTTCGAAGATTTTGAATATTTCTTGCATCGAGAATTCCACGATGCTGTGCATTGCGCGATTGGCGGACAAATGTGTACCGAAGATTCCGCATCATCCCCGGAGTTCTTCCTTCACCATGCTTTTGTGGACAAACTTTGGTCAGATTGGCAGAGGCAAGGTTCGGAACACACGAAGAACGAGCATTTCACATCGCAGACCGTCGCGATGCCCGCCTCGAGTTACTTGTCGAAAGATCTTTTGGACCTCAGCAAACAACCCGATTGTGTGTGCGTGAAGTATCGTGATCCTGACGACGAAATCTACCAGACCCTTTTGGGTAAGTTCTTGAAGCATTAAAGAATTTAAAGCTAGGACTAGGAAAGTGAGCAGTCTGAATAAAGGGGCAAGATCCCTCATCCAGTGTTTGTAGAAAGAAATTTTGGAGGAAGAAAAAATCAATTTTGAAGGCTGCCTCATCATTTTGAGGGGGAAAATTACACGGCACGGCTAAAATTGGTACTCGCACCCATTTTCATTGGAGTTCAGTGCTATTAGAGGCAGACTACAAGGATGAGATTGGTACCGGCACCCATTTTAGCCGTGTCGTACCGATAAATTGAGTGCAGTATAAACGGGACTTTAACCGCCAGATTTTCAAACACAGTTCAAAAAATTTGTAAGCCATGCATTTTGCCGGTCAGATTTCTGTAAAATGTTCTCAAAATTTATTCCGCCTTAGAACAAAGTTTTCCCAAAAATGAAATGAACTGAAAATATAACGCCTGCATAGTTCCTTAGAGAAAACTTTGACCCTTGATAGAAGAATGTTTTTTTCCTATTGGTCTTACAGGGATACATACATAGGTGGCAATAGCAACCTCGTACCCAGGGCATTTTGCCTCCACATTGGGACGACGTCCGAAGATGGAGGCAAAATGCCTTGGGTACGAGGTTGGGGCAATGGATGATTTACTAGTGGGACTAATTTCGTGGCACGTAGGTGTCTTATGAGTTATGACCACTGACCTATTCTAGCATAAGTCTGTAATTTTTTTTTAAAGTAAGCGCCTATGCATAACGCATTGTCAATTCCAATATTACCAGCCCTGGATGGGAAACCTAACAAAGGGATCCATAACTGGAGTTTTGATTTTTTCTCTCCAGCATTCTCGAAGAAACAAATAGAAGACATGCCGAGAGTGAAATTACCCCCTTACCCAGAACATGCGAGAAAATTGTTCGGAGTCACCGACAAGGATTTACAAAGAATGGAGAAAATCAGATCATTTTTACAGCCCGTGAACGTGCTGCGCGAAGATGAGTTGACTGGTCAGGATCGGGTGCTGGGGTTCAAGAAAGAAGATTTAGCCAAGGAGTGGGCAAGAAGTAAGAGCCGCCTTCTTATCTGTAGTACCAACGTATTTAACCGAAATAAAATTCAAGCCAGTTGTGGCAAGAGCATTCGAATTGAGCATTTCACTCAGTCAGGCATCGCAAAACTTAGGTTCGGTTCCTACCGGCGGACGGATGGTTGTTTCAACTGTTCCTGGTTTGAATTTGCGTTGTGTATGATTTACATTCGATATAGAGACCCTTAGATTTTTAGAATATACCCCACATTGAGTAATGCACCACAAAATTTTAATTGATTTAAAAATATCAAAGTCACGTTCTCTTACATCAAAGTAACTTTTTTACATTTTTTAAATTTCTCTTAGCCGTTGGACTTGAAAGATCAAGAAAGAACAGAAGAGACAAAGAAAGCGACGAATTTTAACTCTGCATGCAAATACAGAAATAATCTTAGTTTCAAACAAAATCATGTCAGCTGTGAAACTTAGCTGATACACACACATACATGATAGTAATAGGTATAATTTTAGACATTTTTAATTACTTAATTTATTCCATATTAATAAATGATTTAAATAATTTGTTCACGAAAATTATATTTTTCAGAACGACAGGGCACCTCGATCTCTTAATAGGCATGCAAGCAAGTTACTTAGAGAGGATGATTATAACCAGCTAGCCAGCTAGGGTCTGCTAACATTGGCAAGTCGACAAGCTATGTTGCCCAGTTGGTCACTTCGCACCACCACAATTGAGGTTGTGACTGTCGCGTTTTTGTACGTACTACCATGTACTACGTAGCTACACGCACGTAAAAGTTTAAAACCATTTAATACTAATAATAATATCTTCGATTTAAACGATATACTTATGAAATCAATGATTGAATAGATGCATATAGGTTGGATTCTGTTGGTGATTCGGCACGTTTTTTCTGGCATAAAAAACTACACAACAACTTAGAAGGTCTTACGTTAAGATACATCAAATCCACTAATTCAACTGCACGACGCGGACGTGACATGGAATTAGCCGCTAGCGTTAGAAATTAAACCCATTTTTAATTAGCTTTATACATACGGCCGGTTGCTCGAAAGGCGTTTAACTTAAACGGTGGTTAAGTTCAAAATGGAAAACAAAATTATACCATTTGAACAACTGGGCTGAAAATTTTTGATGTAAATAGTTTAATTTTAAATGAAAGAACATATTTAATACATAAGATGTAGTCTCAGTCAATCACAAGATGTAAAAGAGTATTTTTACACTTTGGCTTATCCACCATTTAACGTCTTTCGAAGAACCGGCCCCTGACCTGGTTTTACTAAATTGGGGTCTATACGATTTTCATTCCTTCTGAAATTGTGAAATATCGATCCACAGTGTTACTTCACGTAGATTTGTAGATTTGGTGTATCTTGAGGTCTCTTAATTCACCTAGTCATACGACCCATACACACTCCGGTAATTCCACTAAAATTCCAGCGATATTGAAAATGAAGATTCTTTGCCGTGTTTTTCGATCGACTTTTTCGATCGAAATTTCATTAGTTTGTGTTATTTATACGCCATCCAAAAGCATTCATGCATGTAAGCAATAGGGTAATGAAATTTCGTTTTTGTAAGTACAATTTCGCTATTAATTGAAATTATATATCATTCCCTTTTTATTTTCTATTTCGCCTACATCTTATTCTTTAGTATGTCGACCAGTCAGTGAACGCTTGGAACAGACAAATCTTATGTAAAATTAGCCGGTGATCTCGCGTTTATATTTTAACCAATCAGCGCTATCGAAATAAAAATCATTCTAGAGTATGCAATCAATTATATCATTTGTTATTCCTTTTGAAACCGGTCGCAATTCATTCTTATCGACACGCAACTACGATGTCCTTTTTTATTCTCACTGAGCTATATGATCCGATGCAGGGGTGTGTGTCTGAGAATTAGCCTTAGGGACCTTAAACATGTAGGACGGCAACACGACGTCGACGCGGCTGAAATACTCCTTTAAATAAATGCTATAGCAAATAAATGCTATGGCATGTATATATTTATCAAACGATGTTTTCCGTTGTAAATAGAACGATGATGACGACTAAAACTCCCTTAGGTCCTTATTAATTATTCTTTTCTTTTTAATGCATCATCCATTGTATTGATAGCCGTCGTCGTCGTGTTCCTGTCCTACAAATTTTAGGGTCGATTTAAACTTAAAATATTCGAAAATATGAAATGAACACATTCTGGGAAATATTGCCAATGTGTATGGATTTTGCAAAACCACCGGCCAACAACAATACATTGCTGACTGCATATGTCAGTGCATGATCAATGAGATCAGAGGCCTATTCATATTTGTACAGTCTGTGAATATTTTTTGACAAATGGTGGCAGCAAAATTTTGCCCGCTTGAATAGTGAGTTTTTTATGGCATGCAAGTCAAAGATACCGGATAACAATAAAAAAATTTATTTGAGCCACTCTGCAATAAATATAAAATATACAGTTATACTAGTTTTTAAGAGCCGCGCGTATATCAAAAATCTTGGTGCACACTTGAGAAATCTCCCGAAATCTCCAGAAATCTCGTCTTACAGACGTATATATACAAACAGTGATCTTGCATAGAACTGCACGAATTCTCCACACGCACGCACATTCACACGTCACGTTCTCCTTCCCAGGAAGGACGTTGGAGACAAATTCTAAAACGATTGGCAGAAGGATTTGAATATATTAATTGGAATATTTGAAATTCGTAGTTTGTAGTCATGGAGCTATATTGAAGAGCACATAAAATTACTTTTGAAGTTCACAGTTTGTTACGACTTTTTTGGGATTTTCTTCCACTGATGCATGGGTGTGAAGGGCAAATTAGTTATAAATACTCTGATTTGTAAATACTCTACTATCACTATTTATACACATGCACTTACACTCACTTAGGACGTATCATTTAAAAGCATGGAATGGCTCAGTAGAGGGCCGGCCACACATGCAATCAAATTGGTAACGTGCACTTGATTAATACTTTCAAACTTGATTAATATTTTCTATTACTCTGCCGTTTAGCCTAAACAGGCCTCTAACGAACCATCTCCATCACCGTAGAGTGTATTGCCGTTGACTGAACTCACCTGTCACCTGGTCGTTACAGCTTTGTCAAGATAACTAGCTTGAAACGGTTTACATTCCCTTAACATCGCTGTTGCCGAATCAACGGGGAACCATTTTCGAACACGGCCTGAAACAAAAAACAAAACCTTTAAACAACTATTAACCACATTTTTTGTAGTTATATTGTGGGGAGGTCTCGATGAAATGAAGAATATTTAACAATTAGACAACGAGTCCGAGTTGTCTATGAGCGAATAGTCAACGAAGGCGAGTTGTCTAATTGTTTTAGTATACACCCTGTACCTAGATATATTAATTTCGAAAAATAATCGATACACCGCAATTACACCGAAAAATAATTTAATTAATTAAATTAAACTTTCTCACGATGACGAATATGCGGCCATTTTTGGGGTACTTTTTCTCAAAACCGCAAGCGTGAGACCTCATAACGGCCACAGTCTTTAATTTTAGGCTTGAGTTATTCTTTCAATGTTCTGTTGATTTAAAAAAGAAAAGCTTTTTCAAAACCCGTTTGAAAAAATTGAAATTACCCCAAAAACGTCATCGTGAGAAAGGCTAATTCAATTTTATACGGTCAAATTTTTCCCAAACGTTCACCATCACGAATAGACAATGGTTGAGTAGCCAATTAGTAGGATTTGTAATAGACAATAGTCGATGTATACTAAAGGAATATAGACGTTTCCGGCACTTACAGTACAAAGTTTTCACATTACTAAAAATTACCGACGAAATGACACAGGCATTTCTGCAAACTGCCAAATTTAGAAGTCAACTGCTTAAGGTTTTGGCCGTATTCTCTTAACGATCTTATAAAATCGCTCACGTTCCTACGAATATTTCAATTTGAATAGTTAACAAATTGACTTGCATGTAATAAACCGAGTTTCTTCTCATCAATTCTCATCAAGTTCAACCATACCAAGCCTGTGAAATGCAAATTAGCATACATGTGGTACTCGATCGTGTAGGGAATTTCTTGTAATGAAATATTTCACAATCTCATTGTTTTCAACTTAAAATTACCTTCAATGAAGTGGATTTCAAGTTTAACTGTCACGGACCATGTGCATTGAAGCAAAACATCCTTCTTCAACACATACATGCACGAGACATTTGTCAGCAAAACATCCTTCTTCAACACATCACGGAACACATACATGCATGCAAGAGACATTTGTATGCGGCTGCATATGTCAGTAAAGATCGTTTATGTCAATAGTCGAACAGTATAATGTGGAATAATCGTAGTTTTCAATACGTTTAGTACTTCAGTAGACTTGTGAGAAATATTTTTTAGTAAAAACTTGTATTGCAACGGAGTTATGCAAACAAGTTCCATTGCGAACTGTCGTCACAAAAGTTTCCCACGGCGCTATTGATATGCTATTAATAATAATATTGAAAACAATGACTATTCTCATTAGTTGTCTCGGAAAAGCTTAATTGAAATAGCTATACATAGCCAAATAAATTCCACGCATGCGTTGAAAAGGATGTTTTACTTCTTAAATCTAAGGATATATAGCCGAGGAGAGAAAAGAACGTATATAACACATCCCATTCAAAATATAGACCTAAAGTTTTCGCTCCAGTCTTTATAGAGGTCAAAGCATGATTTATGTATCTGCAGTTCGGTTCTCACCACATTTGCCCTCGTACCAATCTTCGCATTCTTCTGTGACTATAAGGACATATACAGCTGTTCGATGTTTTCGCTTGTCGTTCTGGAATTAAACACAGATGTAGCTATTATACGGCACACTGTGGCGCACTTATGACGAGATAGCTATGTAACGGGTATGTCATCTTGAGCGATCAAGGGCCGGTTGTATCAAGCCCGTTTAGCTTTAACGGTGGAAAAGTGAAAATTAAATAACACCCTTACAACTCTCTTGAATGAGTCAACTTGAGTATTATGCACTGAATATGTAGTTGTAAACATGCAGTATCTTTGTATTAAGGTCAAAAACATTTAGTTCGCTTGTTGAATAAAACGGCAGACTTGCTTTCTATTTTGAACTTATCCACCGTTTGAGCTAAACGAGCTTGATACAACGGGCCCGTGAATGATAATAGATTCGTGAATTTCCTAATGACACAAGAGGTTCGTTTCCTTTTGACGATTTTGACCGCTATTTCCTTGTTTCCGATATTTCCGATATTTCCTTCCGTTTCCGAAAACCTCGCTTGTTCATGCTGTTTCTGAATCATAGCCTGACAGGCCCAGGCTACTTACAAGTAATGGAAAAACTACTACCACTACGGCTTTGCCCAGCAGACAATTTAATAAACACCGGAAAAGACGAGATCAACATCTTGAACTTCAGAACAAAACAGCAAGTTTACGATGATATTTCGAAGTCATTTTCCAAAATCACAGTAAATTTGTTGTTTCGTTCCGCAGCTCAAATCTCAGTAGGGATCACAAAATGTTGTTCTTTGCTGCACAATGTTTCCTCCGGTTTTCCATGAATGTTGCAATGAATGTTGCACGATATTTAATAGAAAACATAGTTTGAAATAGTTTAAAATAGTTTAAAATAGTTTCGAAGTCATTTTCCAAAATCACCGTAAATTTGTTGTTTCGTTCCGCAGCTCAAATCTCAGTAGGGATCACAAAATATTGTTCTTTGCTGCATCATGTTTCCTCCGGTTTTCCATGAATGTTGCAATGAATGTTGCACGATATTTAATAGAAAACGTAGTTTGGGATCGGAAAATTACTGGAAAGAATTCACAGCGAGTGAACATATTGATTTTCTGTCATGCAAATAAAGCGGCGATGATAATACAGTAATGGGAGACAACAGATCTGTGCACCATTCGGAAGAATTGGACATCAGGTGAACATCAAATTGGCAACTCTTTGATGTTTACCGAACTTATAAACCACGTAAATTTTCTATTGTTAACACACGAAAGCAATATTGGTGCAATCTGATAAGTGCACGAATTGAGGAAAGCCATGATGACACATATTGAAAGGCAAGTGAAGACAAACAGTATAAACATGATCAGAAAGCCCCCCTTCTCCAATATCATTCGTCTTATTTCATTGTTGTTTTTCTGGGATGTTTAATAAAGAAAAAATATCACCAGAATCAGCAGGGTTTTAGAATTACCAAGTAGACTTCATATAGAATGGAATATGCTTTTAAAATAGCATAAATTCTGTCCAGCTATTCCTCATAGCAAATTACAACTTTAACAAATAGGTAAATTCGTTGGAACTAATTTACTACTAACCCATAGCAGCAAAGTGAGAAATCTTAATGTGTATATACACTGTATTTGTGTAATAACTAAGGCAGTTAGTACCTCAAACGTGCCAAGGAATCGACCTAGATTTCCCTTCACGCCTGCCTATAAAACAACAGATATTTATAAGCAATACAAATCAACTTCAGTATGACACATGATTTCCTTTGGGATATTGTAGGCACCAAAGTCACAAGACTGGCCTCTGTATTTACTTCTTGCTATAGCTATTCTTAGGTTGCATTTGATGCCATAGACTTCAGTGGAGTCAACTCATAATCAATGCACAAAATCCCAGTTAGTTGTTTGCTGTATGCGTTTTTTGTGCTGAGTAATAAATATGTGCAATGCTTTGTCATTTGCTCACTTCCATGTGGCATAAGCCTTGGACGATAGCAGAACATTTGAGTGTGAAACCCACTCAAATAACTGTTAAAATACTTAGTGAAACCCACCAATATAACCAACTACAGACCAAGAAACAAAACATTGGCACTTTTCCCTACCCAACCTCATAGAAATGTTCCTTATAGAAGACACTGTGCTTTCTCCTATACAACCCCAGGAGCAATGTTCCATATAGAAAACACTTGTATAAAGGTATATTCCAAACCTACTCCACTCTCAAAGTGCAAACAAGCAAAATGCATGAAAAATGACAAACCTCCTCAGCAACTTCCCGTAAGGCAGCAGTTGCAAAATCTTCATCTGGTTCAACACCACCACTTGGCACAACCCACTTATCAGGTGTTTTTGAACTAGACACCAATAGAACCTATGATAAAGGTGATTAAAAGTTTTACATTAATTACAATTTGGAATAAAGAGAATTTTATGCAAGGTGTTTTATTAGGTACTGCTGGTTTGTCTACAGTAACAACATTGCTATATTTTAGCTCAAAATTGTTCAGCAGATACTATAAATATTCAGAAAATAATTCACCAGTCTTATTTCCTGGGACAGTTAGCTACTAAAGTGGTCAAGAAGTATTAATATAGTCCAACATCATCAAGACTTCAATCAATTATAAACTTTACGATTTGTCAAAAGTTTCCAAGCAAATTTTTAATTAAACAAGGGCACATCATTAGATGCAAGTTAATTAAGGTAATTAAAATAACTCATGGCGAGATGTGAAATGTGTTGAAGATGTTATTGAGTTCACAAATTTTACACCTTACATCTTAATATATATTATGAGGTAAATTAAAGAAAATGGGAATAGTGAAGCTATGGTAAAAAAAAATACATACATATGAAATACTTTATATTAAAATTTTGTCCAAACAATACATGCATGTATGCATGAATGAGTAGGCTAATGGTATTTAAATATTGCATAAAAATCTTGGAAAGTTCTGGACTGTATCAAACAAAGTGAATTTCTTGTGATTTCAAAAGCAATAAGAGCGACACTGCGACAGATAATGAATCTGTTTTGTACATTGGAAGCCTGGAATTAAACACGAATTTAATCATTGAAAGTCACATCCTGTCTCAGCTATTTCTAAAGTACCGTAAGGTTGTAATATACACGAATTTCACAGTGATATATGCATCAATTTTTCACACTGAGCTAATTCTTTTATTCCATCTGTCTTCTTTGTCACGGTCGACACTTTATGTGTACAATGTATATTTAACATAAATATCTGACGAAATTTTAAGTTTAAAAAGTGTCAGTCGTCAGGAAATGCTTGTTCAGTTGTTCTCGAATAGACTTTTTTGAATAGTACCAGAAACCGTCTAAATCACAGAGGATTTCTAATGCGCGAAAAGTGAAATAGGTGAAATTAAGCACTAGGTAACCTAAGCATGATGTTATTCTGTGTTTAACGACAGACCACATTAAATGTATTACAGTAACGTGTATATACATGGTAGTAAATAGTACCTCGTTCTCTGCCTCGGTCCGAAAACACAGACAACCAGCCCTTTTTTTGAATCCGTCGTTATCAAAGGTTCTTATTGTGTTCAGGTAATGGACTTTTGGCATCTTCCTTCACGGTTCAAATTTCAGAAATCGAATCAGATCGTAGAGAAACTAGCAGCAGATTCTTGTATTTCTTTTGCAGTTGTCACAGTATTTATTTACAAGCCTCCTCTGATTTGCGCCATCTTACAAACCCACAATCCATTGTTCAAAACGATTACGTAATTATTGATATCCCGGGGGTATCTGTGTTCCACATTAACAATGAAAGATTTTCTTTCAAAATATGCTATTAAAAAAATTATTAATAAAAGCATACAAGTTCTACAAGTGCAGTATTTTAAAAAAAGGTTAACGAAGCTCAAAATTTTTTTTTACAATTTTGACAATAGTACGTATAACCATAAAAATGATAAAATGAATAAATGTCTAAAAGCGAAACGGTTGTCCGGGTTATTTTCCCCCTCCTGTATGCTCTGCTGGCCTGGAGACTAACTGTCATGCATTGCCATGTCATATGATCTAAATGAATTACAACAAGCCGATAGGCGATAAACAAGACGTTGGAAATTAAATATTATTCGACAAATAAATGTTAAACCTATTTCAATTATTAAGCAGAGAAGAGATGGAGCGATAGAACCTGCTTTAATCCGAATATTAAAGTAATGGGAGACACGAAAAACCAAGTCTCACTTCGGCCATTCGCCCACCAAGTCGGAGGCCATTCGAACTTTCAACAGTTCGACAATCATACTGTATGTAAGCCGTTGTTCTCAAAGGAATTGAAGTTTTATCAAGAAATTCCTTCAGCATTGAAACCGTTCATCCCCCAATTTAAAGGTGAGGCGAAGTTTCGTTGCGGAATCGAAGCTGCAGCAACATGAGCTTCGGATAATTTTGAACTTTATATTGTAGCTATAAACGTAAAGTAACGAAAGCTTTATATTGTAGCTATAAACGTAAAGTAACGAGTAAAAATAACCAGAAATCACTGAGAAGCGTCTTCAAATAACAACCTCTTATCAACTGTTATATAATATAAATATTAACGACCGCCTAAAATAGGCCTCGACGTTTTTGCCTAATAATTTTGTAGCTACATTACATTTACATACAGTATACTCAGGTATAATAACCATGGTTATATTTACAGTAATTTCGTAGTGAAAAACGTACCAGTGAAAACTGCAAGTGTCAGGCTTGCATTTTGTTGCCTAGTTTATTAACTAATCTTTTGGATGGTATTTGATATAATATCAGACCCATGCACTTGGATATAGTAATGTAGACCAATGTACTTGTGATCTGAGTAACAAGTAGAAAAAAATCACCATAGCTGAAGGGTGAAGGCATAGGTTTTTGCCAGACAATGTGACATAAAAACATATGTATTGGTCTTCTGTTTAACAAAAGAAGACAAAAACTGTGAAAAAGGATAACGTAATCCTAAAATATTTCATTATTTCAAGTCAATTGGGTCACTAGCTAGATACATAATGCAATGTATAAATTGGTGAAATGTGCATGCATATTTAATTCATATTCTAGGTGTGGTTACAGCGGAAATAAAAGAAGACTATGAAGGGGAACCTAGTCTAATAATTCATCCAAATGGCCCTGTCCATTTTGTAAGTGATGATATTTCAAAGGACCTTTCTGGATCAGATGGTAAGCAATCATAATAATGCAAAAGTTGATAATGTTTACACTATGGTGTTAAGGAAAATAAGCTTCCTACCAGGCTGTTGCAGTATTGAAAAAAATTCATTTATCAAAATGAAAATATCAAATATACAGCACTGTATATCACAACTATTGACTTTAGCAAAATTACAATTAAAATGTATTTATACAAACAGCAGAAAAGTTGTGTGAAACTAATTGGATACATACATATATTGGATCATTATTACATATGTTATCATTAAGGTTGTCCATGTCAATATACATTGAAAATATATAAATATCAGTCACATGACCATTAAACATGGGTATCTAATTTGTTCACTTTTCTCTTTTTCTTTATTAATATCAATATTGTTCGCCTAACTGTGGCATTTAAGAAATTTTCAAGACATACATACTGTATATTGCTGTATATATATACCATACTATACATCTATTTATCACATGTGTATCCATGTGTATACATACATATCACATTAATATCCAAATGTGAAAATGAGGTATTTACTGGAAGTATGAAACGTTTCAGGATAAACATAGACACTTTAATAAAATACAAGAAAAACATCTCATGTTGTAAACCCAAAATTTGATCAGCTTAAAAATGAGGCAACATGTTTACAATGATATATCAACTCAATTTCAAAGTGATGTCAACTGTCTTGTTTAAATATTCATGCTAGTTACGTCTGTCATGATATTTTTGTTCCTTCACACAATCCAAGAATGTCTTTGGGAAAGGAATGATTATTCCCAGTGTTCATCACTGGTTGTTTAATACCATTTGATTTGAAACCTAAACAATGGATGTAGAATACAAAATGTCTGAATTTAGCCTTTATTAATAAAGGTTATTTCATCTTCTTTCCATAGATGACATTCAGAATCCCTGTGATGCTGATGAAGAAAAAGATCGTCCACATTTACGTGGTCCAACTTCATCTTGTCATTCCCAGCGTCGTAAGTGCAGCCCAGTGCTACATATACTGATATACAGGCCTTGAATTCCATTTGAATCATTTGCCTTATATTATAAGACTACGTTTACACTACTCCAGATCGGTCTTAAAACGGTGCAAAAAAGTATCAAAACGGGTTTGCGTTTACACTGCACCGGAGCGGATTTGTTCGAAAACGTCACCTTTGCCGTAGCGAAATGACCACACTTTCTAAATGTGGTCGAACGAAAACGGAGCGCTACATGGCGTTGTGTAAACACTACACCGTTAATATTCCGCTACACTTTTAGATACCACTCCGCCACAATGCCTGGCGCGTTGTTGCCGTAATTCAATATAGCGAACAATTCTCCAACAATTTATCAACAAGCACCTTTCTCGCTATATCGGCGGTATTATTTTCATTGTTTTTGCGGCCCACGACTACAGATATAAACGTCAAGCAATGTTTCAGAAAGAAATGGCGGAATTTCCCGCGAAGAACTTACGAATGTTGACAGCGAAGAACGCTTTTGTGTAAACGCTAACGAGACAGTATCGGAATTCAAACGGAGCAGTGTAAACGCAGTCAAATTCTGCCGTCACTTTCTCGCTCCGGAGCTGTGTAAACGTAGTCTTAAAGGCATGTGTGAAAAGCAAGTTCAAGTCGTTATTTTAGGCCTCAGAGGCGCATTTGCATTCATGCCTCGTGTTTTTGAAATCTGAAATCGGCAGAAAACATCGCACTTAAAAAGGACAAATGTAGACAGCAAATGTAATACTCTTCGTCTTGGCATCATTTTTAGAATTTCTGATTCTTGAAAATGTCATTTCTCGGTATCATTCTCCTTCGATTCTTGATCTTAAAATGGGAACTCAGATCCACAGCGACTCGAAGACAAGTGAGGAGGAAATGAAACGGAGGAGAAGCAAGTGGGAAAAAACTACCGCGAGAACCCTCGGTGTCCGTTTAGGTGGGATGAAGGTACAGTGTCTTTGAATTATGATTTCTTTTTTGTACATATAGTAAGAGGGAGTAATTATGAGTGCATTGATTTATACCTTGACAATTGATCACTTGCAACTTATCCATTCATTCACATCTCTTACAAGAGGAAAATCTGATATTCTGGTAAACTAGGACTTGGTCTCGGAAGTGGGGATTAGTCAATCCAATTTTCCCTGATTACATTAGTAGCAGAAATGCTTACAGTATCCCTGACTATTGTGTTACAATCATTAGTCAATCGAACGTTAATTGAGGGGGACCGTATTCATGCATGTTAATTTCTTTTGAAAACAATTTTACTCTCAAGTTTCAATATAGAAATCAGCCTGGCACAGCAGATTACATTAATATGATCCCCTCAATTAACGTTCGATTGACACCCATGGTTAAATGCGTACGTCAAACTAAGACTTTGATAATCTCTTTTTGGTAAGAAATTTAAGAATTTTTCCTATTTATACATAATACAGAAATTATCAATAATTTACAGTTTTCGTAACGGTTGGCGGGAAAGTTTCCTTGTTGCAAGTTTACATATCTCAAAAGTAAAATTGCAATGCAAAGGTGCATAAAAAATTGCGCCGAGTAATAGGGCCTTAATTAAGCTATATGTTTTTTTTTAGGTATATCACGTTGACTGTGGAAAGTGTTTTTACATGAACAACAGTGATGGTAGAAAGCTGTCGGAACATGGTTTCGAGAAAGCCTTGGGGATGTTTTTCGATAATGGCGAGACGTTTCGCTGCGCGCTTATTAGTTGTTTCATCCAAAAACTTAAAAACGTCTTGGACGTCATGGAGAAGGACTTGTGCTCGTATCGTTTCTACAACAGCTCGCTGCTGCTCGTTTACGAGGGTGAGGTAGCTGGATACTCAAAACGTAACGAATCGGATTGTTTCACGAACACCTCGAACCACCATTCCACGAACGACACGTCTTTGGAACAGTGCACGTGCGAATGCACTAGCGAACAGTTGGATATTCGCATGATCGATTTTCAACACGTGTCACGCGACGACAGTCACGCGGACAAGTCGTGCTGCGTAACGTGTCCGGATAAAGGGTACATATTTGGGCTTAAGTCTCTCATCAGAATATTGCGCAAAATCCAGAACGATCATCATCGTGGCAGGAAAGAAAGTTTGACGGATGGTTCTGGGAAGGATGCGTCGTAAGTTGTTTCGAGTGCGCTACTTTCAGAAGAGTGCTTCTAGGGCGTCAAGTCCGTGAGATAGTGGGTACATACCAACACGCTGTGAAATTACTGGTATAATGGTTCCTTTGGCCTGGACTCGTCATTTATATTCATAAGAGGAGGACCACAGGGCAACCTGTCCGTCGTCTGAATGCCGGTCTACTCTTGCAAATTTTACTTGCTATTTTCGGTGTGATTTTATTCTTTTGAATGATGTTTTATGAGTCAGTAGTTATTGATTGTATGATGTGTAAGGAACATCCGTCGTAACTTATCTACTGAAAATTGCATCTAAAATCGCAGCTAAAATTGTTTATCTCAGTTAAGAGGACGTGATGAATTTTAATCGCCCTAAGAACCAACTCTTCATACCTAAACACTAAACAGCACTAAGTATATGGCTTCAAAGGTAAGAGGCTGGAATTACATGCAGCGCAATTGTTAATTGTATAATGAACAGTGAAAAACTTGTGTGGATCGAAACATTTCGTCCATATTGTTATACGGTCTTTCCATTTATCGTTTTATGGAGAAGATACTGAACAGCCGCCGGTTGTGTGAGATTTGAATAGTGATCTGCGTATCACAGGAAAAGTATTTACACATTTTTTTACACTGAAATTGCACGTTAGTAGTTGTATATGTTATATGTATATAGTTATATAGCCGAAGTAGTATAACTGGAAGTAAACCTTTGAATTCTTAAGAACAAAGTGTAGTTTACCCGTATAAACACTTGGTCCCCCTTGTAGTTTTTCTTCGCTTTTCAAGCCTTCACACAACCGGCTTCAAAGATATATAAGATTCGCGTGCACCAGCATCTGCACCACTACCATATTTCAAATATGCAATCAAACATTATTGCTTAATTTCATTAAATATTTTGGGAGAAAACCCAAAGAAATCGATGGTGTATATTGTTGGAATAGCAAGATAACGTTGGTGTTCATGGCCTGAAGATCTATGTGAATAATTAATTTCCTGAGTAAATGTTCTCATCAAATATTTATTAAAAAATTTTCTTCACTTTTTTAACTGTCGAAGAACGACATCTCCTAGTTTACTTTTAGACAGTTGCCGAGCACATTAATCTTTATGAGATATTTGATATACTGCTCCAGGAGTTTATGGTGTAATGTGTTGTATTACGTTAAATATTACAATATGACAAATTCATATAGCCAGTACAAAACGTTTCTTTATTCGTGATCCATTAGGTTTTTTAAGGACGTTGGAAGTATGCGTAGGTTGATATACCAATTTGAACATTATTGACGTTTGCCATCTTTAATATTTCCGAATTGGAGTCTAATATTGAGTTAAATATGTGAGTCTTCGCTCTAATTCCTCTTTCTCCCTCAAAAGTTCTTTGGTCTTCCTCTCATTTCTATCCAATCTGTTTTCAAGTGGGTGCATTAGTGGACAACATGCACATGACTTCGTGAAAACTACAATAACGACAATAATTTAATCAAGGACATTGGAAGCACATATCACTTGCAAAGGTATGTGAATTATGGTTATGGAATGAGCTTTCAGTGTAATTATTGCATACTTCTTTCAAAAGTTTTAACCCGGTCAATTTTTAGTGTGGCTACACACTAAAAAAAGGTGTGTTAAATTTACACACCTTTTTTGTCCAAATTTTAACACACCTAAAGGTGGGTTTTGAAACACACCTAAAGGTGTGTTTAACACACCATAAGGTGTGCAAAAAGCATCTTCAAAGGTGTGTTAACACATAGCAAGGTGTGTTTTTGTGCACACCAAAAGGTGTGTAGAACACACTAAAAGGTGTGTCAAAAAACACACCAAAAGATGTGTTTTTGGCTTGTCCAAATTTTAACACGTTCTAAGGTGTGTTTTCAAAGAAGGTGTGTTTTCATACACACCATGGTGTGTTTCATTACACAGCTAAAGCTGTGCTGGAGAACACACAAATTGTTTAAGTAAAAAGTTGCACACCTTTCCTAAAAGTAACATATAAACAGGGCTAGAAAACACACAAACACAATATTAATTTATAAATATATTTTAAGTTCCAATACTATTAAGAATTAACATGAAGTCACAGTAATGAATTATATAAATATCTTGAAGCATGCAGTTTAGTTTAAAATAATGTCTTACTCTATAAACAGTTTATTGACTTGATGTCGTCTCGACTTGACACTTGGTGTTTTCTTGTCTTGTTGGTCACCCTTGTTCTTGTTTGTTGGAGTGTATGGTGCCTGCTCAACTGTTGCAATAACATCATCGCCTTAATTCATGATCTTCATAATCAACAAAGGTCACCTGAAAATATAAAATAAATGCATAAGAGGATCTGGTATTTAGAATTTTCCAATTTAAGATGTGCACAAGCATCTGTTAATTAATAGAACATGCTAAATGATACCCAATTTATGAGTTAAGATTTATTTTTGGTAAAAGAATTTAGGATGTATTGTCAGGTATAGGCAGGTATAATTACATGAATTATAACCTTCTGTTGAAATTTGAAAAATTGGGGTCTGGGCACATTTCCTATAGTTTCTTTAAAATGGGAAAGTTTTATTTAAATATGTATATATAGCTATCTTTCAGGATAAGTAGTCAAGTCTATAGTATTAAAAATCATAAACCATTCTGGAACACTCAAGTCAAATCAACTATCTAATATTTACAACATTTAGAAAGCAAATGCAGTATAGTGAGGACAAAAATTGGTCCTTTGGAATGTTACTAACCCCCAAAAGGAATACAAAATATTAAACATAAATTAAGACACAAAACAATTCATCAAGATTACACCTAGCGAATTATATGCTTTCTTTATACCAAGCATAAACTATGGCATAAACAGCCTTATGTATACACCGATATACGTGTAAATCTCCTTCTAAAAGCACCTAGAACAATTAAATTTTGAAAGATAAAACGTAACACTCACCAAGTCTCTCTTGTGATGTCGAATCTGTTCGCGTCGCCATGCGCTTCGGTGGTCTCTGAATTATTAGAATGAAGCAGACTTTTCACTTTCAAGCTATTCGGGACCTTCGAAGTCTTGAATTTCTTTGCATCGTTTGTAACGGAACCATCAATTTATTCGCTACAAATAGATAGAGACAACCATATTGATTACACTCGTTGGCCATATTGAAATTGATACAAATGTTTGACACAAACGATTCGAAAAGCACTGCAATACAACTTACCCTCTTATAATTTCTTCTTTATACAACATCATAAGCTCTCGTGTGTTCATCTCCAAAAAAATCTTAAAATCGCCTTCACAATAAACATAATTTAAACTTGTAACAGACTCAAAGCACAGTTGTCACAGTAGAGAAGGAAATGTAAACACTAAACAGTGGTTTGTATTTCGTGCCTCGTGCGCGTGGGTTTCACACCTTGCGACATTCTTATTGGTTAAAAGCGTATGACGTATCAGATCACTGACCTGTATATACAAGTCTGTATGGCAGATATTCAAAAACAACCCACGTTAATCATTCTTATTACAAAAGTAAACCACAACGATCTGTAAATTCCCTTAAATCTATGTCTTATATAATGTTTAGAGTTTTTAATACTGATCAAAGCTGAAACGCAGGCCAAAGATAACAGGAATTTAAAGCAAAAAGTTAAATTTAAATGCAATGGAACAGCGTGAAATTTCCTGTGACTTGTGTAATTCCTCGTAAGGCTGACGCTTTTATCGACGCACTAAAATACTATAGGTAATAAATAAGGCCAATCAAGCATATTGTTAATAATTTAAAGGTGTGTTTTATAACACATCAAAAGATGTTTCTTGGATGGGTCAAGGTGTGCTGTCAAACACACAAAGGTGTGTTTTCAGTGAAAAGGTGTGTTACTTTACACACCTTAATGAGTAAAAGAAAAGGTGTGCAAAAGGAGGTGTTTTCGCTAACACACAAAGGTGTGTTTTCGAACACACGAATGTGTGTTTGCGTACACACAAAGGTGTGTTTCCTTACACACCAAGGTGTGCTTTCTAAAAGCGCGTAGAAAGGTGTGCAGAAATTACACACCATGGCGTGCAATTGAGCACACCTTGGTGTGTAGTCAAACACACCTTGGTGTGTAATTCTACACACCTGTTTTTTGTGTGTAGGATTTGAAACTGAAGTTAGCGAATTAAGCACAGGGAAGGGTGTAGACCTATGCATGCCGAAGCTCGTGCGAGTACAAAACCTGACCACGATCTGCACTGAAAGCATGTCAAAATCATACCCAAATTCATCTTTCAAATTAAGTTGCTTTTCAGATGAAACATGTAACGTTGCATTCAGCTACCGTTTACGGCCGTTTTCCACTTCAACCGTATCGTAGCGAAACGTAGCGTATCTCATTGTTTTAAAGTCATTAATTCTGGTCGAATACTTCGGAAACAAAGAAATACGTTACGCTACGATACGGTTGAAGTGGAAAACAGGCCTTAGAGATCAGCCGACGAGTACTGTAAATCTCGTTTACCCCAAAAGTAACTTAATGAGATTATGCTACTCTACCAGACCAGCTTAAAAGTTAGCTCGACCCAGGTAGGAATCGAACCCGCGACCTTTGGTTTGCTAGCCCAGTGCTCTTCCAACTGAGATAATGGATTAGGACGGTTGGAATGATATTCCGGAATTTAATCTATTTCCATCTTGTGTTTTAAAGATGCACCATCGCATTATCAATTTACCTGAGCCATGCACTATCACAGTTTAGGACATTCTTATCCTAGCAATAATTCGACATACACAAGGAATATAATGTTAGGAGATATTACTTACTCCATTGATGAGTTTACATGCGACTGAAAACAGGTTAATTAATTGTATCTGACCACGCTGCATATAAACAAACAAAGAGAAAACCGAAACTAGTCCCGTTTCAGAGACGTCAAATTCTACTTCGTCATCAGCCTAAAGGCCGTTTTCCACTTCAACCGTATTGTAGCGAAACGTAGCAGGGGCACCAGAACCACAGGGGCAGCTCCACAGCTGCCACTCCCTACCCTTTGCTTACGGGGGCCAACAACAGCCATGGAAGATGAAATGCAAACTACCAGAGGGCGACAATGCATTGGGGGAAAGATGGGTATATGCCAATAATATGACATTTCAATGGGGACCGGTATGAAGAAAAACTGCCTCTCAAGGATGAACGCTCACTCTTTCCAGACAACTACAGCATTTGCCGTGAAGCAATTAGGATCCTTGATTAATCGATAACATGCATCACTAACTGTTTTGCAGGAATATCACAGGGTTATCCAAGATCAACTTAACACTGTAGTAGTTGAACTGGTCGAAGAAGTTGATGGGAGTCACCCGGAGTTGTTCATTATTTGCTATACAAGGAAGTTGTAAGGAATGATAAAGACACGACTAGGCGAAGAGTCGTGTATGATGCGTCGGCAAAGAAAATCGGTCCTAGCCTGAATGATTGCCTTTATGTTGGCCCCCCACTTACACCATTAATCTCCCGACGACTGTGAATCATCGATCATAGACATAGTCCATTTTGCCTGTGCATAATTTTATGTTTGGTGTTATAGACAAAATATTTCTGTTGGTTATGTGCTCTCTTGATAAATCAGTTTTTTTGCTGCTAACAGAGTAGCCCAATTCTAAATTGACTAACGGACGTATCAGTGTTGCACTTGCTTAACACCAATAAGCGAGAACTTCCCCCCAATCAGAGGTGTAACGGTTTGTTTATACTTTGCAACTTGGCACGGTTAATCGTTCGTTATTTGAATATTACTCGATTCCGAATTCATCCTGTGGCGGTGACAGCAGACATGGAGAAAGCCTTTCAGAATATCGCCATAGCACCAGAGCACCGTGACTACCTGAGATTTCGTGACTACCTGAGATTTCTATTGGTTGATGAGCCGTCGAGTGAAGCTCCCCAGATTCAAGTGTTACGATTACAGTTTTCGGTCCAAGCCCATTCATTCTAAATTCTCATCAAGCCCATTCATTCTAAATACCACTTTAAACCATCACATCATTTTTTCGCTATTTTCACGTCTTTGACGTTCACGTCCTCATGCTAAATCTCCCTAATGACAAACCAGGGCTTCATACAGGGTGTCTCAAAAAAACCGCAACCACTTAAATATGCAAGAATATTAATATTGTTGGGGTTTGCACCATAGTTCAGCTAATATGAAATGAAGCATTTAAAATGAAGCATTTTAAATGAAAGATTAAGAGCCATCTTTAATTCCCAGAGGTGCTTATCTATTGCACTTTAGAGCTGTAGTAATGTTCTTGCATATTTAAGTTTTGCGTTTTTTTTGAGACCATCTGTACTTCTTCATATCATGTGAAAACTGCATTGATAATTGTTTTATTATTTGTTTAAAAGAATGAACATTACAACTTTGAATTGTTCGCTTAAATTTGTGTCGATTTCACATTATCGCTGCTTTGGGAATGTCTTCGCCATTGGTGTGACGTCCTATTGTGAGATACGAAAATTTATCACACGTTATGAGGTAGTAACGTGCAAGAAAAAAGTCGTATCACACGTTATGACATCACACGTTGGACATGACGATTTCACACATGGCTATTAGCCAATGAGAGGCTGTAAATTCTTTTAAATAAATGATAATGCACTCTGTAGCGTAACCAGCCTGACGATTTGTCCCACCATGCTAATATTTTGGTGTTCATTGACTGTGAAAACAATAAATTTCTAATGAAAAGAATAATTATAGTAACTCGAAATTTGTATGCACTTTGCTAAAGTCTTATCTGATGCTGATCTCAACGACGTGACCAAGAGAACTATTCTTAGTACGGCGGCGAAGTTCTTTGATTCTTTAGGACTTATTTCGCCAGTCGTTTTGATGTTCAAATTGTTCTTCCACAATTATGCAAATCGGAAGTAGGTTGGCGAAACATTGAACGAGGACATGATCAAAAACTGGCAGTCGATCGTGAAAGATTCAAGCGTTTTCTCCCTGAGTAGATGCTACTGTAAAGACTTGTTTGCAGATAAAACGAAGTCTATCCATTACACGCCTTGGGTGATGCATCGGAATCGATGCATCAGTATTAGGACATTTCTGGAGGAGATGGAGTTCAGAATACTTAACCCAGTTACGTGAACTGGAACACCACCGGACGAACAAAAGAGACCGGTCTGTTATCAACGTCGGAGATGTCATATTACGGTTAAAGAAGACAATGTTAAACGATTGAATTGGCAAAAGGTATTAGTGGATGATTTAATCCAAGGAAAAGACGGAAAGTCGCGAGCTGCGGTTTAAAAAGTGATCCGAAATGACGGAAAGATAATACGGCTTCGGCGACCTCTGCAGAAGTTTTATATCCTATTGAGTTATAATCCGAGCTAACAAATGAGAAAAAAGGTGAATTTCCAATCACGTTCGTGACGGAAGCCAAACAGGAGAACATTGACATTTAACTAATTTATGTACTTTAGAGTTGTGTTGATAGACTTTCGCCCGTCTATCAGGGCGGGAGGATGTTCGAAATGACGTAAGCGAAAGTATCGTGTATACCACGCGTGGACGAACAATGCTTTTCGCGAATGCCTTCGGAGCGAAGGATAACTTTGTGTGATGTACTTTGTAGCTATAATGTGTTTATCATTATTAAAGCATGAAAACTGAGTGAACATATATAAAATCCATATCTCCGCGCAACCGTGTATTATTCTATACATTATTTTCTGCCCGACGGATTTTGAGGCATGAAGAGCGAACAGCCTGGAACGAGATTGTCAATAAATGATTATAGGACGCTGAATCATTCGTATATTTATCAATAATCTGGTACCCTTCGTCGGTAGAAATTGGGAAGATAAAACGAGGAGTAGTTAAGAATCGACACACTGAATACATACGGAGGTAAGGCGAGATTAAAAGATCACAAGAAACGTTTGGGAAATCGCACATTTGTACAGCCGATTGCTCGGCAGGTCAAAGTTATAAACACGGTAAAACGGAATTTTGGAAGTGCTGGTTAATAATTGTATATAAATCAAAGGTAAAAGCAATAGAAGAAGCTATAGCGTGGGAATGGTTGTCTGCTGTTGACAGCTTACTGATTCCAGTTTTTATTGGCACGCGATTATGTTATAGTCATATACTTTCGTTTTGCCCAAATACTGGAATTTTTGCATTGAGTGCATGGTTAGGCTTCGGGATGTATTGGATTACGCGATTATATCAATATACGAAAACATTTCAATAGATTAAGCAAATACATCAATAAAGTATATTAAAAGATTACACAAATAAATTAATATCGACCTTCTCTCAATAAAACACAATCACTTATTCACTTTTATTTGTATTGGTCGTGCTGATAATAGACCACCCAACAATTTATTTGCCGCCTACAGGAATTTATTTGATCATTTCCTAGAAGACCTAAAAGTTCTTTTCAAATAAACCAATCAAAATTTATCGTACATTTTGAGCAATTCTGATTGGAACAAAAGCAGGCAGTTATTAATGAAATCCGTGACCTATATACCAATTCAATCAAATGTTATTCAAACAATTCAACTTTTCATGTGCCGAATCAAATACAAACGAAATTGTTTAATTAAACGAAGACTTTAGCTCCTTAAAATTAGCGGGATGTGATAGGGTATACTGAGTTGCGAATGTTCAAATAAGGGCATTACACACAGACATTAATTTGATAATTAAATTCCATACAAACTGATTAAGACGTCGCATAGACGTTGTAATTTTGCGGTATTGAGTATACACAAATCACATCGGAATAAATTGTTCTACTTCACTCGAACGGTAATTCATAGCGACAAACGTAAGGCACATATGCCACCAGGCGGGCGAAGATAAACGATTCATGTGAACATTTGCCAACATCCAACTCACGCACCGAGATTTAACGAAGCTTGGGAGGACTTTGAGGTAATGAAATAAGTCTTTATGACACCAAACAAGCACATGCTATTGTTATGGTGATTATACGACTGCCACGACTGCCAGGATCATGTTATCTGCTCATTTCAATACCTCAAAATCATCTCACGCTTCGTTGAATCTCGGGTAACCAGGCCCATGTAAACAGCCCATTAATCGCACTTCAGTCTCTGCGCGTTTCTCCTGGGACCGGGTCGGAAACAGCTGCGTTGAGTGTAAAATAATTATGTCCATGCATACCTAATATGAAATTTTATATTACAATCGATGCTTATATATATTTGGGGCCGGTTGTTCGAAAGGCGTTTAGCTTAATCGGTGGATAAGTTAAAAATAGAAAACCAAATTATCTATTTATTGAACAACTGAGCTAAAATATTTCGATGTAAAAGGTTTAATTGTCAATGGAAGTACATATTAAATGCATAAGATGCAGGTTCAGTCATTCACAAGACCTATGAGAGTATTTTTAAACTTTTGCTTATCCACCGTTTAAGCTAAACGCCTTTCGAACAACCGGCCCCAGATATATTTAGATTTTGTGTATACAGTGCGTGTGAGACCCATTGTGCTATCGTATTTAGGTATAGGCAGATATCACAGAATGAGTACACGAAGTCTATATCATCAGGCACAAGAGTACAGAGTACAGGGTGTAACATATAGACCAGAGGTAACCCAGTCTATTTGGAACTTTCTTGCGCGACAAGTCAACCAGGAAAATGTTACCCACATAGCCAAAGAGTTAAAACAGTATAACGTTTCAATAACTTTAGCGGATGATGAAGGGAAGTTTCTTATTCGTGGCACCAACGAAGGAATTAAACAATGTAAACAGCGTTTATCAGAACTTGCTGCATTAATTGTTGAACGAGAGAAGAAGCTTGAATATCCAGGGATAAAAAATCTGTTTTTTGATCAGGTCGGAAAGCAGCAGTTGGAAATGATTGAAAACGAAATGAGAATCGATATTAGGAGTGTTTCCTGCAGTGCAGAAAAGATCTCAAACGAGCCCGTTTTCTTACCAAGAACAAATTCCCTTTCATTGCCAAATTCCCAGAGCTCGGTCTACAATATATGCAAGTTTACTACTGAAGAGGGAATGAAAGTCACCTGGACATATGGTAGCATTGAAAATGAAACGGTGAGTAATTTTATTTTTTTTGAAAAAGTGATTTTATATAATTTAAATAAAATTTTTCATCCAGCGGCTGTGTATAAAGAGACCTATTTTTTATTGTATGCATGTGTATTAGGGAAAACAACTCAGACATTTCAAAGTTGCAATAGAGAACTGATGATAATTATAGCATAATCGATTCACAATACATGATAAGGACAAACCTTTTATTCATAATCCTAAAACAATCTGAAAGACGCATTGTCACACAACCTCACTTACCCCCGTCCTCTCTACACTTCGTGCATGAATTAAAGCATCCTTTAATTTTCTTTGGAATATAATATATCTCCTTTTTTTTTTGAAGGCTGATGTGTTGGTAAACTCCGCACGGTCAAATCTTAACCATCCTACCGCATGTGGCCAAGTTTTAATGGATCGTGGTGGACCATATTATAAAGAAGCGTGTAGACCTCACACAAACATACCACCGGGAGACATCGTAGTAACTGAAAGTGGCACGCTTTTGTCTAAGTATGTTGTCCATGCCGTTTGCCGAAAATTAGTTTCATTTCAGGAACCGTTATCAGCATTTGAGGTAAGGTCGTATAGATTTCGTAGAGATTTGAAATAAGGAAGAGAAAAGTGCATGCAATTCTTAGGACGCTGTATTTCATTACGGCGCTGTCAGAAGTCAAAACAGACTGGATATATATTCTGTAGTTTCTCAACTTCTGATTCGCGTTGACGCACATGTTTGACTATGTTCATCGGAAGCGTTCTTTTATTGTTTATGCATTCTGAATATGAGTTTTATCATCGTTTTAGTTTATAAAAGGGCTTGTGCGCAAAATTCTTGAAAAATGTGAGGAGATAGGGGCGTCTTCGCTCGCAATTCCATTGATCGGTGCAGGTCAGCTTGGTTTTCCTGAAGAATCTGTTTTGAAAGTAATCAAATCTCAAGCACAAGAACTTAGCGACAGAAGAAGAGATCAGCTTAAATTACAAAGTATTTGCGTGATTGTGTTCCAGCCAGTCCCGTTACCAACCAAACCGCAAATCTCCAATGTAATCACGTTCAGAGAAGTCGGTATTACCCTTCTTGGCGGAACAGTAGAACATTATCAAGCAGACAGCTTGATAAACTTCTCCCCAACAGATATAAGGGTCTCAACTAAAAGCTCCCGATGTTCAAACACCCGACAAAGTGAAGATACAATGAAACAACCTCCCGGTACGTGCTCATCAGAGAATCGTGCGCTGACAAGCATGTAAAGTATTTCATGCACTGTGTTCCTACTTCGTTTGACATTCCTGGATTAGAGAGCGCAATCAAAGCTGGTTTGAATGCTGCCCGAATTTATGAGCAACGCAACGTGCTAATATCGACCTCGGAGATAACTTCTTTTGGCGTCGCGCCCAAGGAATGTGCGGACGTGTTTCTAAAGGCGGCCCAGATATTTTCCATTTTAAATTTTAAAATGGATGTTAAAGTGGTTGTATTTGAAGCGGACTTGATGGAAAATTTTCAAGACGCTTTTGAAGAAAAGGTAAAAGAGCAACAAATGAGAGGCAGTCTTCGGAAAAGTTATCTGGGGGAAAGTTCAGAGGCAATAAACCATCAGCGTCCTATGACCATAGGCACAAAAGACGAAGTTATTATTCGACTTGTTGGGTTCCGCGATGGGGTTAACATGGCCGCTGACAAAATTGAAGCGTATTTTAGTCGAAGCAAAACGAAAAAATGTATTTCAGGTGACAAAATTGTCAACAGACTTTGGAATCGTACCTCTGAAATACTGGAAATATCGAAGAAATATGAAGTCTTAATAACTTTCTCAGCTGAGGAACTTTTTATCGAAGGAATGACGGAGCAAGTATTTGAATGTAAGGATGCGTTGACAGATTTTCTAAACCGTGAAGACGAAAAGAAACGAGAGATAAGAAGATTGCGTAAAATTTCTCAATGCGTGCAATGGTCGTATTTTGATAAAAATGGTGCTATTCTGTTTGATGAAAACCTGAACGGAATGATTGAGAGAGAATTCAGAGTCTTCAACAATGAATTTACGCTCCCGAGCTCCATTGGCACATACAAAGTTGATCTGGCTAATATGATCATAACCGAAATGCAAACTGGGCTAACTGCAATACTGGCAAGAACGGATTTGGAAAAAAAAAACAACCCGTCGGGTATTATATGATTTAAACAATTTAGGGTATTTTGCCTTTCTACCTACCCAACGCTACCCTACCCTACCCTACCCTACCCTACCCTACCCTACCCTACCCTACCCTACCCTACCCTACCCTACCCTACCCTACCCTACCCTACCCTACCCTACCCTACCCCTACCCTACCCTACCCTACCCTACCCTACCCTACCCTACCCTACCCTACCCACCCTACCCTACCCTACCCTACCCTACCCTACCCTACCCTACTACCCTACCTACCCTACCCTACCCTACCCACCCTACCCTACCCTACCCTACCCTACCCTACCCTACCCTACCCTACCCTACCCTACCCTACCCCTACCCTACCCTACCCTACCCTACCCTACCCTACCCTACCCTACCCTACCCTACCCTACCCTACCCTACCCTACCCTACCCTACCCTACCCTACCCTACCTACCCTACCCTACCCTACCCTACCCTACCCTACCCTACCCGACCCTACTCTACCCTTCCCCACTCACATCTTTCACTGCGGCTCTTACCTATACTGGGCTAAAGAAAAACAGTGTCCTCGTTGTCAATTTATACAATAACTTTAATATTATTCTTTCAGTTTCGCCCAGAATTCCTATAATATGGGAACCACAAACAAAAACTGTTCATTTGGTCGAACTCTCCACTTCATCAAATGAATACCAGGAGATAATTGATCTGATTGGCCCTGAAGAAATATCAATCGAATGTATCGAGAGAATCCAGAATCCTCGTTTATATAAAATGTATCTTAGTAAAAAAGAGTCAATGGGAACGGAAGCAAACGAAAAGCAGTTGTTCCACGGTACAAAGTCAGAAAATGTTTCTTCAATCAATACAAACAATTTTAATCGACGTTTTTCCGGTATAAACGGTAAGAGAACTCTAATTTATTAAAGCCTATGCTAGGTTTAAGGGAGAACATTTTTATAGTACGTTGGGACCCCTATAAAGAGTATTAGCCGCGGAAACGGCCTATTTATAATCTTTTACAAAATTCCCTAAATGGATGATTTTGGCTATAGACTAAATTTTGACATGGAATCGTCTAAGATATATTTAGTGATATTTGAACTGAAGAAGTGCGAGGAAGTATAAAACTAATTTACAGCAAGAATTGTAGATATCGGAGAAATTCGTAAATCTCTTTTGTAAAACATAAATTGATATATTTAATATTTTTCTTGCATCCATATAGGTACAAGATATGGCCATGGTGTATATTTTGCAAGAGATGCTTCCTACTCTATCAGCTTTTTACAAAGAAATAGCGAACACGACGGAGCTTTCCATATGTATGTCGCAAGAGTTTTGGTTGGCAGGAGTATAAAGGGCTGTAAAAAATTACGTGTTTTGCCGAAACGAAATGACCCACAGAACCCTGAGTTATTTTACGATTCCGCCGTGGACGACACAGAAAATCCGTCGATATTTGTGACGTTCGATGACCATCAATGTTACCCAGAATATTTGATTTCGTTCAATAAGGCATAGTTTCATTTTAGAAAGTATTTTTGCACAATGAAAGTATAATCTCCAAGTTAAAATAATTGAAACTGTCAATCTGGCAACATTTATAATCTCAGAAAGGAAATTGCAGGAAATGTTTGTTTTGTCGGCATTAAGAAATATATTACCGATTACTTTTTTGATTCTTAAGAAATTTATAAGTATATCTGCTGCATTTCGCATGCATTGATTGATTGATTGGAAACTTCATTTCAAGAGGGTAACAGATAACAATTCGTAAAAACTGATGAACCACTGGCCCTCGAACTAAAAAACATTAAGTTAATTAAAGTTTAAATAACTATCTAACTGATCCTATAATTACATTAAGAAACTACCTACATATAAGAATTTACTTTAATAAATTAAATATGCTCTTACGTTAAAAATGATGAACACTCATAGATTTATCTAAGAATATTTTCTTTAGAGATTTCTTAAAAGAGAGAAGAGAAGGCTTTTTGCGTAATTCAGCTGATAAACTGTTCCTGATTTTAGCACTTGAAACCGTAAAGGATCTTCCTTCAATCTCACGTTTATAGCGAGGACAGACAATATTGATATGCCCATCCCTAATTTCTCTTGAATGAATATCAATTTCACGGGAAAACATGTAACTTCATCAAAGAATAGGAGCCAATTATGCTTTCTAAAAAGATCAATACTCCTGTCTTTATAGTTAGCATACAAGATTGTTCTCGCGGCATGTTTCTGTAGCTTAAACACTCTGTCAACATTAACTTTCGAACAGGAGGTTCAAACAGTGCTACCATAGAGCATCACCGTAGCGTTATAAAATTGTAATGTTTTTTGATGTGGACTTGTTCAATCTGTACTTCCTGAGCTCTTATGCCCTGTTTGCAATCTGTCAACTGAGATGGAAGACGTTTTCCTGTAATAAATATCAACAAAAAAATGTTAAAGTTGAGAAGGCAAGTCATTAATAAAAATTAAAAATTATAGTGGACCCAAAACCGATTCTTGTGGTACGCTGGGTAGATGTTTAGGTTCTGTGGTGTAATGGTTATCACTTCGGACTCTGAATCCGAGAATTCGAAACTCGTTGAAAATATTGATTCTACGCGTCTTTATGTATTTTTACTCAGGCTTTTCTCTTAGAGCCCATTTCATAAAAATAAAATCTTTTTGAATAAAAATTACACCTGGAATGTCAACTGAAGAGACCTTCTTTATTGAAATGGGAACTTGAGCAGGAAATGGTTTCGTCCATTAACCTCTGGGTTATAGGCACATGACGTTTCCACTGCGCCACCCTGCTTGCTACAAACTTCCTTTAGCTAAAAATATATACGCAGATATATATGTATTTTCTTTTCATTTGTGCTATTCCGAATAAGGTAAGAACATTGGGAAATGTTCTTACATGTATCTATAAGAATTGTACCACCCATGCATGCTGCATGCAACGGTCATGAGTGTAGGTCAGTTGTAGAGCATTCGATTGCAGGTCGAGAGGTCAGTGGCTCAACTATGCTCGCTCCCTTCCTTTCTATAAATTAAGCCGATTAGTGCACAAAAAATTTCAATTTATTTTCGTGGCAAACAGCTAGCTGTTGGTTTTACAAACAATCCATGCAGTTTAGGTTTTATGAATGACTCTCTGGGACACATTCACGTTCCATATAATTGTAAACCAGGGGTCCATACCTGGAATAGAGGGAATATATATATGCAGCCAGGCATTTGTCTGTATCTGTTCTAGGTGTTTAGGTTCTGCCTGGTGTGATGTTTAGCAGTTCGAACTCGGAATAGCTTTTATAGTGTCCATATTTAATAGCCATTGTTGCTTATAATTTACAAAAGTATTCGTTTTCCAACACTGCTCTGGTCGTACGTGCATGCGGTAAGGATGCCAGCGCAAGTCCAGTCTTGTTATCCTGTTGAATGCTGTTTGCAAAACTGCGATGGGATTCCGACGAGAACTCACATGTGGGTTTTGCTCTTTACTGCGGCTCATGTTTTCCTCATTTCTTTCTGTTCTTCTCTTGCCTGAATTGCTCTTTTTTCTGTTAAGGCTTGTTCTGGTGTTTTGATATTTTGTCACGTTATCTCGGCCAAAATTGTGTTTCATGCAGGAGGATTCCGTTCGGGAAATCTTATTCTGAATGCGTTTTGCACTTCTCTTACATTTTGTGTGATGATAAAGTTTGTTACAACAAATAATCGTTGTTCTGCTGTCAGTTGCAGCATTTTGTATTTGATGAAGGGACACGACTGATTATTAAAAGGTCGTAGAGTTCCAGGCAAATGTCTAGAGTTTTATTAATTCTCGCACGATTAGAATGCATTGTAACTCTGAAAGGAAAACAACCTTTATGTTTTAAGCTAATTAATGGGTTCAATTATTTGATATGCTTCGTATACCCAAGAGGTATTTTAAGCAACTTCTGTCACATACCTGCCGCTATTGGGCTAATCTGAATTTCAAAGGTGTCAGGTTTTTTTTACTCACCCTGTATAGTTGCCATAGTTAATGCCATAGTTGCCTACAATTTACAAAAGTATGAAACCAAAAGCCTCATCCGAGAGTTGAACTCTGGACCCCTGGTTTACAAGACCAGCGCTCTAACAACTGAGCTAATAAGGCGCGTCTGAAAAATCTCGGAATATAATTACTTTGTCATAATAGTGCGCGCGTATCAAATTATACTATGCAGCCCGGCATTTCTCAGACTCAGTAACTTTGGTAGATGTTTAGGTTCTATAGTGTATTGGTTATCACATCGGACTCTAAATCCGAGAATTCGAATTCAATTCTCAGTAGAAACACGTTTAAAATATTCGTTCTACGTTTTTATGTAATTTTTTGAGTTCAGGCTTTTCTCTTTTTGCCCATATTAATGAAAAAATAAACCTTTTTGAATAAAAACCTGTGATGTCCACACAAGCTAAGAGGCCTTTTTTGTTGAGATGAGAAGTTTAGCAGGAAATGGTTTCGATCCATTGACCTCTGAGTTATGGGCCCTTCACGCTCCCACTGCGTCACCCTGCTTGCTACACACTGCCCTGATACTATGAATATACACGCAGATATATATTTTCTTTTCATTTTTCCTATTCCGAAAAAGGTAAGAACGTGGGAAATTTTATCAGAGAGTTGAACTCCGGACTCCTGGTTTAAGAGACCAGTGCTCTAACCACTGAGACAATAAGGCAAAAACATGACGCTTTTGCAAAAGTAAAAACGAATCATCGTCAAAAAATAGTTATCCCTCCCAAGCTAATTCTGCATATTTTCCGATGTTCAGTTCTTGTAATATGAATGACAACGTCCTCATGGATGATATGTCTTTACTATGAATACATTTGTGCATGCATATAGTATATCTCCTCGTTGTGTATATTTCCATATGGGATTGACACTGCATAGGATCAAAGTTTTATGGGGAGATCCACACTGCTTTTTGTCTTGAAGAAGGGAACTCAATATTCGAAAAATTTCAAGTTGGGAGGGCAATCAGGGCTTGCACGGGAATCGAATCCGTGTCCATTGTGTCTGCACCACCCAAAACGAAAAAAGTGCAGTAGCTTACGATAATTTATCAAAAATTTCAGCATAGCGGTAAATGAAAAATTAAAGTTCCATTGACTCGTGCGGCAAACAGCCTAATATTATACTCTTAAAAGCGAGCCTATAAAGGAGAAATAATTTCTGAATAGAAGTTCTTATAAGAAGAGGCATTTCGCTCTAGACCAAACAGCATGTTTGTTTACATTTTTAGTAACCGAATCAGAATGCGTAAATTTGACTACTTCGGTTAAAAGGGTACAATATTTACCATTTCACATCAAGTTTTAAAAATTTTGACTACTTTGATTGTCTTTGCCTAAAAAATGCAAAACAAAATCTCGTAAAGTATAAAACGAAATTCCACCCGCTGGCAAATAAACAATTTCTCCGTGTTATGAAAATCTTTCGAGATAACAAGACTCGTAGTCGGCAGGATTTGAACCTGCGCGGGAATATCCCAACAAATTTCGAGCCTGTCGACTTAACCACTTAGCCACGACTGCATATTTGCCAGTTGACAGGCAATGATAAAAAAAAACCACAATAAAACACAAGCGCTAGCAAGTATTATAGGAATTGATTTCTGAAAGAACGAATCATAAACATTGTAGTTCACTATTGTTACAAAAAGTCAATCACAAAAGTCGTTCATATTATTGAGTTTAAGTGGAAGTGTGGAGAGCTCGTCAGAGATTCGAGCTCCGGACCCCTGGTTTACGAGACCAGGGCCGGTTGTATCAAGCTCGTTTAGCTTAAACGGTGGTTAAGTTATCACAAAATAAAAAGCGTTTTATTCAACTGTCCTATTCCAAGGAAACTTGCTAATATCTAAGTAATTTCATTCACGAACATTAAAATTATGTTCCTAAATTTGCTATGGAACCGAATAGCAAAGCGTTGCAAGAATGCAAGGTGAAGGAATAAAATTGCAATGTGTTTGATTAATAAAATCACTATGATGTGAAGTGCAAAGTTCGAGTAAATCACTTGTTCAGGTCTTTTCCATTCAGTAACTATACTCGAGATTCGTATGATTATGAATTCAATGTTGTAAATGCTTGGCAACAGCTGACGTTGTGGTAC